AATTATATTGTTTCCAACTTATGAAATGTTTTTTACACACTAGCCGTCCTTTCCCGGCGTTGCCCAGGTATTATCTGAACTGTTTAGTTATTTTTATACAGAAAGGATCAAAATTTCGCTTTTCACCTAACAATACATGCCAAATGCATAAAGGCACTAATACTGAAGATATAGACACGTTGTTTTCAAGCATTATATGAATATGAAACGAGTACGAACGAACATTTAAATATATTCATTTCCGTCAATAATATGAATTCTAATACTTTTTTACTTTTTTTTAAACCTGTTATTACAAAACAGTTATTATTACTAAACACTTATTCCCTAATAATTTGTTATACCAAGCGAAATATGGCAGCATACACCTCTTTTTTTATGGCTTAATTGCTATAGGGCAAACAAAAAAATTTTCGAAAATTGTTTTGACAAAAAAAAAATAATGCTCAGGTGCACACCCTTAGAATTCCCTTAGCATGCGTGAAAAATTTCAGGTTTCGAGGGTCTTTTCTCTTGGAGCTATGGCGCTGACTGACTGACACACACACACACACAGGCTGTTCTACTAGAATAAGAATTAGTACACATTACGTATAAGTACACACACACACACACATATATATATATATAAAATAACCAAAATTCATAAACTTTTACGTTCTTAATTATTATTAAGAGGCGATGAACTTACTGGTTGATTAGATTTAATAGTGTGATTAACTGAAGCGTCGCGATTTTAACTGTTTTTTAAAAAATGTCATTTTAAAACTGATCACGATATTTTTAGTTCTCAATTTTCGGAAGTAATGAAACGTCAGACATTTTTTGACGTCAGAATGACGTATTTGGATGCGTTGTGTTATTCGTCGTTTAGCCAATACAATGCGTTTAAACTTAAAAATGTTAAGATACTGTTAGAGGGAGTAAAATGCACGTGATCAATGACGCCAGGTAAAATAAAACAACCAATCATTCGTTAGATGAGGATGCTGACGTCAGATACTTAGAATGGGAGGTAGGGTGTCACAGTAATGTTTGTTTTGCCTGCTGATTTTTAGACAAATTTTACAGGGTAAAATGTCACCGACAATTGGAGTAAATTTACGAGTTACTGGACACTGTAATCAGGGTGGGAGAAAGTATATGGAAGATGCATTTGTTGTGGCTTATCAACAAACTGAAGATGAAAAAGACCTTGAGTACGGCTACTTTGGAATTTTTGATGGACACGGAGGACGCGAAGCAGCTCTATATGCAAAAGAACATCTCATGAATCATATAGTGAATCAAAAGAATTTTTGGTCAGATAACGACGAATTAGTATTAAAGGCGATCAAAGATGGTTTTCTAACCACACATTTTGACATGTGGAAGGAAGTTGGTAAGTTATGTACTAAACTTTAAACCTAGGCTTACTCGTTCTTATAATTCGATAGGACTAACAATATGTGGTAGCGTTAGCTTTATTCATAGACGTTGCTTTGGGAACCTAAATGCTGTCGTAAAATACCCACAATTCAACGCGTGTCCTGTTTTTGTGCGTAAACTGTTTATGTGTTTTCAAGCTTTTCGGAGTTTATAGTTCACTAAGTAAATAAATAAATGAACATGTACAAGTGAATACAATTGTTATAGAAAAACTTTTAAACTTTGTTGATTATATTTTCATTATATACATTTTCTGTTTTTAGTTTTACACTATACCTACTGCCCTATAGTATAACTAATACTAATAGTAATAATATAAACAAAGCTCAACTGTTACTAAGTGTAACTATTCATTACTCAGTAATCACGCAGTACTCTTAACAAAATGGACAGTATATTTTGTTAAGTTGATTGTGTTATGGTATACTATGTAAAAACTTTTATGTTTGCTTACTTTTGATTTCTATATTTTTTAAATTGAAGAACAGTAGAAAAAGACAGGACACCAGGCAATTCAACCTTGCATTTTTTCCCCCTAATTCAGTAATTGTTTACTGCAACAAATGGTGTATGTACAAGTCATCAGTTTGAATTTCTGTTATTGCCACTTAACTGTACTAAGAGCTGCTCGTTTTATTGTTGAAAATACAGTAACATGGGCTTCACTATCAATATAGAGAAGCAACAAACAATTTGGTAGCTTGCTAAATGTATCTTAGAATTACTAAAGTTTTGTAGAGAATGATCAGAAATTATTTATATAAAAATTTTGAGCACTGAAACTTAGCATTAATGTACTTTGATACTTACATTAAAGTTTCTATATGATGCATGTATTATATGATATATCTTCTTTTTTTTTAACATTTTATATATTGTCATGAAGTATTAGAACAACCCTTGAAGATTGTTCAAAGCTTTAGTAAATCTGAATTTTATATGTTAATGTTGTTCAATCTGTTTTTAAAGCATTTTTCTAATTTTGTTTTGTGCAGAAAATATTTATTCCTTATAATGGTGAAAGGACAGTGCTTACAATATGGAATGTGTTAGTGCTCCTTATTAATATATTAATTTCATTACCATTTTTTATTTCACTGCTACTGTAAGCTGATATTTTATACATACAATTCAGTATTTTAATGTAATTATTATTTTTGTGTGTGAAAATTTTATGCACAGAAGACAAAGTTAGGTTCTTGTAATGGATCAAGTTGCCTTTAAGCAAATTTAAAGAATTAACAGAGAGGTATCCTAGACTGCTCAAGGCTTCAATGTCTCTTAAAACAACTGGATCATCATTAATCAATACTGCAAGTTTGGATTGATAGATAAAATGTTTATTTAATTGTTTTGATATTCCATAGATAATTGGCCAAGGACATTTTCTGGTTTACCAAGTACTTCAGGAACAACTGCAAGTGTGGCTTTCATAAGGCATGGAAAAATGTATGTAGGTCATGTAGGAGATTCTAAAATTGTCTTGGGATGTCAAGATAAAGGTAAGCTTTTCTTTTTTATTGACTTTAGAAAAAGTTAGTAAGGAGCTAGATGTTTTAGTGATGTACAAATGTTTAGAGGTACAGTACTGTTTTCTAATAAGCAAGTATAATTTCTGGATGTCATGTTTTAGGTTAAATTTTTAATTGCATAACACTGTTTTTATGTCCCTTTTATGTATGAATTTTTACATATCATCATAAAATAGCTAACTGCATAATATATTTTTTAATGTCACATTTTTTGTTATCCTTAACAGTATATATTTTTTGCTTTGTATATTAATATACTAAGAATGAGGTTTTCTCTTTCACAATTCTCTAAAGACTGAAACTTACATTCAGCTGATAAAACTATGACAAAAGCTTGTAAATGAAATAACCACTAATGTGGAAGAGAAAACCTTACTTTTATTTGTTAATATACACATTTGTAAGTCATGTTACGAGCATACATCAAATTGATGTGTTTGTATGCTTTTTCAGACTCTAATAGTTGGGTTGCTCAGCCACTAACTAAAGACCACAAGCCAGAATCCCCAGCAGAAAGACAACGTATCCACAGTGTGGGAGGTTCTGTGATGAATAAAGCGGGTGTAGAAAGGGTTGTGTGGAAGAGACCTCGTATTGGTCACAAAGGACCAGTCCGTCGAAGCACACATTTTGATCGTATTCCATTTCTGGCTGTTGCCAGGTCACTTGGTACAGTACTTGTGTGTAGATATATATTGATTTTGTTGTTTTGGAAATCAGTGGATGTAAGTTTTTTGCATTTCTTTTAAGTATTCACAATGATCTGAAGAAAGAAACAAAACAAAAAAAACTCACAGGTCTCATGAAACCATACTATATTTGTGGAAGTATTGTTGAATTTATTCCAAAAGCTACTGTTTAGAGTTTAACTTAGCCTTATGAACCTTATTATTACAATACTTATATGTTGCTGAAACCTAACAGGAGATTTGTTTTTCTCATAAAATGAAATGTTGAAAGTTTTTAGACAGCATTTTAGAGATATGGATCGAACTTTGTGAAAGTTTGATGATATTTAGTTTGTTTCACACTGTTGTTCTATCCAGTTTCTGGTAAGGCCTGTACTAGTATAATTATTTTATTTAGGAGATTTATGGAGCTACAATTACTTTCAAGGGGAGTTTGTGGTCAGTCCTGAACCAGATGTAGCTGTTGTTACTCTGGATCCGAAGCGAGATCGCTGTATAGTTCTGGCATCAGATGGGTTATGGAATATGATGACACCCCAGGATGCAGTGAGAATTGTTCAGGAAGCTGAACATGAAAATGAACGCCTCATCTTGGAAGCAGGACAGACGTTTTTAATGGTTGGTATCATAACATAATGTAAATTTTAAAAAATGCCTCTGTCAACTAATCCTGTAGGACGAGTGGACCTAAAGTTTCACTCATCCTGCTTTAACCCTTTCGAGACGGGTCATGGGTGAAAGGCCATGTCATCTCGTTTGTTGACTTGCATTTAAATGTTATTGAACTACTATTTCATGAATTTATGTCAATATCTTTTGTATCAAACTGGGTGTGTCTTTAATCTGCTCCAAATTTCATATTTGTTTTAGACTAAACTACAGCTTAGTTACTAAGCTTGATAAATTATAATAGAATGGTATTGATGTAGTAATTTATGATTTTTTAGTTATTCAAAAGTATATATATATAAAATATAAAAAAAAAGATATTTTCTTTCATATCCTCCACGTGCAAAATTTTTAAAGGCTTAGCAACTTACATCAAGCAGGAATCGAG